TAACTTTTATTCTTATAGTACTTAGTTATCATTAATTTGGTCAAGAACTTACTAACACTTAGCAAGTCTTGTAAGTGTAGACCCGCCATTTTCGAATTACAGAGATTGGAATCAAGCCCTCGAAGGAGAGACAATTGCTGAAAATGGACCTAAGTAACCCTATACATTTCTGGAGTTCATGGTGTTCCAAATCCTATGTTACAAACCTCCGAAGGGATAGACACTTATAAATGCCAAGTAGGCCCAACATAAGATTCTCACGGTGCGTCATAATGAAAGAGACCGTAGGACGTGTTTGACACACCCTTCACCCACTTACTGTGAACTACTTCCCCTATTCACCTTGTTATTGACCCATGCAAATACTTTTCGAAGGGAGGTTGCCCAAATAGCAACACGAAGCCGAGCATGAATCTCACGGTGTGAACTCTTAGGGACGTGAGAGCTAGAAATAATGTATCTCATACACTATTAATCTCCCACTAAAGTGTTATATTAAAAAGTGGGTAATTACGTGGCTATATACCGGTTAATTATATACAACCTAAGTCTAGGTGATTTTCCCTAGTATAACTCTTATACCAGGATTAACCTACGATGTCTAGGTGATAAAACAATTTTATTACCTCACATCTCTCACGCATGCTCATACAACTAGGGTTATTGAATCAGATGCCGATTTGATCTCCAGGTAGGAGGTGTTCCGTAAACCGTCAACTTAAGTACCCCTAACCTTAGACAAGATCTCACCGGGTGAGTAAACAACTTTTGTTTTACAAGTTATCGCCCTATTTTAACTATTAAACGGAATGAATTGCTTTGCACCGATTAACCTTAGCTGAGTATGCAAGTTTGTCTTCGTTATAGATTTTGAAAGTCTAAGTGATTTTATAACACTTATAAAATATATATATATATAACAATTATGAAAGACATAAATCTAAAACAAGCATTCACTAATTAAAGTCATAAACTAATATAACAATTATAACTTCTTTTCCTAATTCAATGGGACCACCAACGGCGAATCCATGCTATCCTCGGGATGATGAACACGGTTGTGGGACCGRATTTTGAGTGAAAGCAAAGGGAAAGCACTAATGACTATGAGAAAACAATAGAAATTTGAGTAGAAAAATCCTGCACTTATGCAAGGAAGCATTAGCATTCTCCAAGTGATCTTCATTACATATATAAAGACCAAATGCAGGCAAGGACAAAGCTTACATGCCTTCCACTTCAAACCCCACCTTAGCATGTAAAAGATAGGTGTTAATGCCTTGAAGAAACACTTCAAAAACCACTGGTTAGTGGGAAAATCCAACTTCTTTCCACTAATCTTGATTTTTAAATAAAACTTTCTAATTTTTTTTAAAAACAAAAATTGAAATATCAGTTGTCTATTAAAATAAAAACTAAGCCAAAATAATATCTCATATTAATTGGTCTTTGACACCTAAACTTGATTAATCGCATTAATCAAATTACAACTCTTTTTCATGCTTTAAACTGATTTAAAACTAATTTAAATAAGTCATACTCTCCATAATAATTAATTCTCAATTAATTATTAAATTATATATTATATTTCATATAAAATACAATATTTCATAAATAAAAAAAAAACCGAATTTGAACACTTCAAATTCTTGCTTCACCTAGTTCATCAATTTTATCCTTTATGAGCTAGCATAGAGACCCGATGGACCTACAGATCATGGGCTCCAACAATTCGAGACTAATCGGTCAAACTCTTTAACTTAGTTAATCAACATTCGTTAACTAACAGGATTGTCCACTATAGCCAGTAGATGCACTCCCCTCACTGTAGATATATTTGTGTCCATTCGATATAACCGTCATCGGTAAGTTGATCCTTCATAGATCGTTCATAACTTTAGCTAGGTCAAAAACTGTTTTACCCCTGAGGTACATCTTTTCTCCTTAAGTACCACTATCCCTCTAATGAACAATTGACTTAGGATCAAATCACTAAATCTAATTCCTCTCGGGCCAGTGAGAGGATGATGCCCCTTGTTCAAGACTCGGGATCAGCCCTTAAGGGAACAACCTCTCTACTATCCCTAAATCGGGTATGAGCGAATTCTGTCTTGCTAATTGAATGTTCCTAGCTATGTACCTAGTCTTATCCTTAAAATGAAAGGCATATAGAGCTGTGCTGATGAGCTTACTTTCACCTATGCAGATCAAGGGAGAATACTGAAAAAATAGGAGTTCATAGACGGCTCAGGATTTAAATGAAGTTATCTAGGTCATCGATAAATGAAATTAATCAATGTTATCCGTAAACGGTATTAATATGTAACAGTAATTATTTCAGGGTCAGTCTTACATAATCTCATTGCGTAGAACACCCCCGCTCACATGTTCCTACATGAACAAATCAAGATCACTTCGTTTTTGACACCTTACAACATTTGTAACAATCATAAAGCGGGTCGTATCCAATAGTGTCTCCAAGAAAAAGTACCCAACTTGCTCTGTAACGACCCAGAATCTTTCTGTGCACCTCTAGGTCACATTAACTACCCAACTAATCAAATTTAACCCCGGCTACATCCTGCCAACCTTCTATACACATAAACTTATAAAAATCAAGTTCCAATCCTCATCAAATTAACGATAAACCAATCTCATGGAATAACATTCAACAACATTTGTGGACCACCTCACGAGGCAAGTTTATTAATCAATCCATATGAATCTAAACAAAAGGAATAAAACTCAAATAGGCACCTAACCCGAAGCAAGACTAACAACAAGGAAAAATCTCTCAATTATTCAAATGCAAATAAACCGTTTATTGGCCACAACATAAGGCCCTAACCAATGAATTAAACTAAACAGAAAAACTAAGCAGCCTATGGTCCTTGTTCATCAGGTCTCCTCCGTCCCATCACCACGGTCACCCACGACTCCTTCACCTGAAACAATCATTGTAGAGGGGGGGTGAGTATATAAAATATACTCTGTAAGTAGCCCTCATCAAGCACACACAACATCATGCCCATGACCATAAAGGAAACATACAACGTCATGCTCTATCAGTACAGTATGCGAACAACCATATACATGCTCTACTAATACATTATACATTCATCCATAAACATGCTCTACCAGACCCGATGCTAACCACAATCATATAAAAACCATCATCGTCCACCTGGCTCCCTAACACCTCACATACAACTATGTTCACCTCAGTTATTCGAGCTCTTCGAAACCATTCTTTTGGTAGTGTCGACCCCTG